GCCCCATTTTTTTTTTTTTTAATTAAAAAAAAATTTTTTTAACATTTGCTTGTTTTTCAGAGACAGAGACAGCAGGAGCGGGGGAGGGTCAGAGAGCGAGGGAGGGAGACACAGAATCTGAAACAGGCTCCAGGCTCTGAGCTGTCGGCACGCAGCCCGATGTAGGGCTCCAACCCACGAACCACGAGATCATGACCTGAGCTGAGGTTGGCCACTTAACCGCCTGAGCCACCCAGGCACCCCTAGTGGAGGCCCCGTTCTTAATCGCATTGTTAGGTGGCCTCAAACCACCACTGGTGCTGAGTCTCACAGGGATTTAGGAATATTCTGTGTGGGTGTGTACCCCTGGGCTCTAGAGTCAGACCCACGGACCTAAGTCCTAACTTCTACGTGGAGCTGACTTGTTCTGGGTCCCTGGGTCAGTTGTCTCCGTCCTCTGACCCTAAATTTTATTACCTCTGAGAGGGGGATGATCGCAGGTCTGGTCCGCAGGGCTGGGTGTGGTCGCTGGCAGCGCTGGACCACCGCGTGTGCTCCGGTTCCTGGGACAGCACGGTGAAGCTCTGGGACATGGCGGCAGACGGGCAGCAGTTTGGCGAGATAAAGTGTGTGGGGTCCTGGGCAGCGGGGGCAGGGCAGGGCCGGGTGCTGCGCAGTCGCAGCCCCGACCTTGCGGTCCGTGTGTTCCCAGAGGCAAGGCGGCCGTGCTGTGTTTGTCCTACCGGCCTGACATCCTGGTGACTGGCACCTATGACAAGAAGGTGACCGTCTACGACCCCAGAGGTGGGCTAGGGGCCCTGGGGCCTAGGTGGGGAGAGCAGGGCCACCTGGGGTCTCCAGGGTCATGCCGGGGAAGGAAACACTTGAACCTCACAGCCTGGCTGGGACGATAGTCACAACCAGAGGCTGACCACTCAAGAGTGGCCTGGGCTGTGCTGGGGGCAACCAAGGCAACTGGTGGGGGGGGGCCGGGTGTTGGGGCAGAAGCCCCCCTCCAGCTGCGGCGAAGGATGGGAGGGCTCCGGAGGAGGGGCCTCTGAGCCTCAATGCTGTGGGAGGTGGAACAGCCCCCGAGAACCCTGGGTCCACCACTTCCTCCCTCTCAAGCTCGAACCGCAGTCTCCCCATCTGTAAAATGTGGATAATGACTCCAGCCCCCTAGGGTTAATTGGAGGAGATGACAGTAAGAGCCTTGGTGGAGTAAATGTTCACACAAAAAGCCTAGGATAAACACTGCCCAGCATATGAGCCTTTTCTGTTGTCTGTCTATTTATTCTTTTACTTGAAGGGCTGGGGCTCTTGGCCCAGGCACAGCCAGAGCAGGGTGATGGGTGATGGTGGGACTCGTCTCCAATCAGTCGGCAGGAGGAAGCGTTTTATGCTGGGACTTGCCGAGGTCTGCTCTGCACTGCGAGCAGATGGGGTTGCGATGGGAGATGGGAGGGCAGAGACTTGGGGGTCCTGGATGGCCCACATCCAGACGGGACAGAAGAGAAAGACGGGACCACTTGCAGGATGCGGGTAGGCGGGGCAGACCAAGGATTCAGCCGAGTGGGGAGCGGCCTGGGGCCCCCTCCGAGGGGCTCTGACGTCTCCCTCCTCCCTGCATCACTCGCGAAGCGGGCCCGGCGCTGCTGAAGAGCAGGCGGCTGCACTCCAGCGCGGTGCTGGCGCTGCTGGCGGATGACCGTCACATCATCTCGGGCAGCGAGGACCACACACTCGTGGTGTTCGACCGCCGGGCCAACAGCGTCCTGCAGCGACTGCAGGTGCGCCCTCCCCTGCGGCCTGGAGGGACGGGGGCTGCGGCCTGGCCTGGCCTGAGCTGCCGTGTCCCGCGTCCCTCCCACAGCTGGATTCCTACCTGCTCTGCATGTCCTACCGGGAGCCCCAGCTCTGGGCTGGTGACAACCAGGGCCTGCTGCACGTCTTCGCCAACCACAGTGGCTGCTTCCAACTCGTCCGGGTCTGCCGGGGCTCTTGCCCCTTGCCCAACCGTCCCTGGGCCTCCTCCCTACCTCTCGACCCCTGGGTGGTTGTCGGGCTGGCGTTGGGAGAGCCCTTACCTGAGTGTCACCTGTTCCTCTTTTCTGCAGTCCTTTGACGTGGGCCACAGGTCTCAGATCACAGGCATCAAACACTCACTGGGGGCCTTGTACACCACGTCCACCGACAAGACCATCCGGGTGAGGCCCCAAGACAGGCTCC